AACAAAAATTGGCACTTAAAACTTTAATAATTTGCAAACAGATCCCTAAATGGAAAAATAATCTTAGATACCCCTAAGCCATTTTAAAAGACCTATCCAACGATACCTCACACGATGGGGTAGTAGATGAAAAAAAAATCATCCCCGCTTTACCTGTGGGAGCTACCCTAAAAAAATTGTTTTTTCAAAATTTTATTCTACCGTTATTTCGGCGTGGTTAATATACATACTTCCACAAAATTACAGCTCTCTAGTGCCAATAGTTTCCAAGCAAAACCCATTGAAGTAATATTACTACGTAGTACATTATAACTCAATGGCAAAACCTCGGACAGACAGATAGACAGACATATCGAAACTATAAGGGTTCCTTGTCAGGACTACGGAACCCTTAAAACGTGTCCCAATGATAAAAAGTCTTGAACAAAGATACTTAGCACAGAATAATAATATATTTGTAGTCAAATATGGCAAACTTTTCATTAAAAGTATCAGATGTCGTCTAACAACATGAATGTTGTCAAGGCTTACAACTAAAATAGTTCCCTATGTAATATAATATAAATATAATAATAATAAGTAAGTGGTGTTAATACCAACAAAAAGTTAACTACAATAAATTAAATATTGTTCTGGAAATGACGTGCTCACCGCTAATTAATTAACTTTGGAATGATCGACGCCCGAAAATAACGCAAGTCTGCAATAAAAACAACACAATAACAATAAAACCACAGTGTGAAGTGAAACAAGTTGGTAAGTATGGAATTTATATTTAAGTTCTCATTATCTAGGAGCCGACATTAATTAACGGAGTTATTACATCGTTTGCAATTTTAATTTGCTATGTTGAGCTACGGCTCGCTCCTTAGCACAAATAACAAATTCGCGTATAATATATTATCTTACAGTAACAGATCTTAAACAAATATTGCAGGAGCTGCAGAGCGACGCCTTGGCCCGGCTGTGAGTGCAGGCAACACATCAGCTCCAAAGTTTGACTGAGAGTCCATATTGTACATAAATGTATTAAATCATTACGACAGTACAAACAATAAACATATATTTTGTTTTATTTTCTTTTTTATTATTGCAACCACATAAGATGCATCTGCAGATTTTTTTTTAAAATGTAATGTAACAATATTAACACTCAGATCCAAAATCTCAATTATTTTAGTACCATTATTTGCTTTATTACTTGTTACTTTGCTACATCTCACCTAATTGATGATACATTACAATTAGAATTACGCAGAATTACAATTGTTCGAATTCCTGCTTAATGTATCAGTACAGTAGATAAAATTAATTTCCTTGTCTTGGATCTCTTCCAAATCGCATTTCAGTAGTGTAATTTTGATTACACAAAAATGTACGATAAAATACTGAAACTGACAGCGACATAGTCGTCCGCTGCGGACTGATGAGTGCAGTGCTGGCCGCGACCCGCGACCCGCGACCCGCGACCCGCGGCCCGGCTGCGGCGCTCTGCAGCGAGGAGCCTGCTCCGGCTCCGAGTGCGCAGTGCGACTGTTGTGCGAGCAGTGTAGGTGCACATCTGACACCGGAATTTAAGCATTTCATAATATCTGACTGTAACAATGCAAGTTTTTGCATCTACCTCCGAGCACATCATTCACATTGCGCATATTTTATCACTAGTACGTTAATAACTCGTTTTGATGTTAGCTAAACGAGTCGAGACGTGCGTGCTAACATGTGCACGAAATACCCGACATAATTTTCGTTGTGTTCATACATACATAATAATACATCCTATGTGTTTACAATTTCTTAATAGCGAGGCCCGCCAGCACAGAGCTCCTCATTTAAAATAGAATACATATTTGAAGACGAACCAAGTTGAGTGAGCTACCAAGGCCACTCGAAATATGAATGCCAGCGAGCGTGAGCGATGCATCTGCGCCGGCGCGGCCGCGCGTCCGCGCCACCTGGCGCATGCAGCCTAAACCTACCACTACGGCCCTAAATACCTATCTATTATGTACAATGAATGTTACTCTACATTACTCGGTACATACTAGAAATACTTTATTTATACTGAGCGAGCGTATCTATTTACATACATTATTACTGTAAACATTATCTAAAGCTATGTAGGTACCTCAGGCTTAATTAATGAGCTTTTTCACGCATAAGCAAGCAAGTTACAACTGATAACAATGTTCTTCGACTATCTAGGTGTAAATACCACAGTGACACCATCTACGATATCGTTCCGTCAGATTGATCTATGTAGCTTAACTTCGTTTAATAATTATGTGCAGTTAACAATAATTCTCTATTGATAACCTCGTCTGTGGTGTCGCGGTGCCTCGTGGCGCGCCGGCTATGTGTCACAATTTACGCGAACAAGACTAAGTGCTGAGTTGCAAATGCATTAGTAGATATTGCTGATTGGCAAGAAGCTATTAAAGGGAAACGCGCTTTCATCTGCCTTCGTGTCGCGTTCGAGCGAAGATATAGACTTCGACCTAAGCCCTTCTGTTTGGCTCAAAGTTTGACAGGAAGAAAATGCCAAATGGCATTCAGTTCGCCTTTTGATCTCTGATATAGTACAGGTTTTTGCAACATTTTTTATCGATGCTCTGCTCCTATTGGTCATGGCGTGATGTTAGCTATGCTTTCCTCGATAAATGGACTATCCGACCCAAAAAGATAGTAGGTACTTCCTGAGATAAGCGCGTTCAACTCAACATCGTTTTTTTACTAAATTATTATATATTTTTGATGATGTACATTATTATGACTATAATGATAAATGAAGTATCTGGCAATACTGTTTTTTTTACCATCTCTTTTCAATGTCAATAGAAATATTGAGTGCCTTATAGCAAAACCCACGTTTAAACAAATGTTCAACTGAAGCTGATATAGATCGGCAAGACACGCTACATTATGCATGCGACAGCGCAAAAACCGTGACACATTTGTCGCGCGTGGCGAGAGCATGACGCGGTGACGCGACGCTCACCTGCTCCGCGCTTCTGACCACGCTCGCGATGTCATTATGAGGCGCATACAAAGATAGGGCCCATTAAAGTACTTAATAATATTGGGCAGCAGACATTTTAAAGAGTAAGACTACTAATTTCTTATTGATGACCGAAAGCCCATTACTTGCACAAATAGGTACAATGCTTACATTGTTTTTTATTTTAATTTACAAAACAATACAATTAAAAAAGAAAAAATAATAACATGCATGTAATTACATCAGGCTACGCGTGGTGTGTACGATTTATTTGTTTATCTAACTACAAAATTCTCTTTATATGCCAATATATTTTTCTAAATCATAAATATTTACAATAACATGATTTTAATTAAACTTACTATACATCACTCTACCAACCTAGGTAATATAGAATGACAAAAGTATAAAATTGCCGAGATTTCAATATTAATACAATAGCTATGTCCAGTAGTATTATTTTAAACTTCATTTCAAGGACTTATACAGTGTGAGTCTTGATAAAGTGCACGAAAATGGGTGAAACTAGAACCATTTTTATCGAAGGAAAAAAATACCAACCGAATTGAGAACCTCCACCTTTTATTGAAGTCGGTTAAAAATGACAATAAAAATACTGTTTTTTTATGAATTTTGTTTTCTAGAGAAAACGTTATAGTTTTTGAACTAAGAGGTATATGCTGATGAAAAAAAACCAGCAATAATGCTAAATAACAGGTGATACTAATAAAATGATATTTTTGAGAAAAATCATTATATTAGTTTGTTTTTTTTTATTATTTGATAAATTTCTTCAAATAATGCCCCGTTATAGGTAGTTTTTATTACTTTGTGTTATTCTCTATCGTATTACCTTAATAAAACAAAAAAAAACATGTCTCTATCCCTGTCACAACATTTGCTATGATTGTTTGAACAAAGGCTTACCACCACATTATTGTCCGCCTCAGGTAGAGAAATTTTTAATTTTAATTAAAATGCTTTTATTACTTCGAAATCTTTTGTTTTCATTTGAAATCTAACTTATTCTTATCAAAATTACAAATCTAGAGCCACTTTCAGCTTCGTTGTTAACGAAGCGCTGAATGGCGCGCTCGGAGCGGCTTAATTCAAACGCTCATTGCAAACGATGTGACAGGGATAGAGATATGAGATTTTTTGTTTTACCAAGGTAATACAATCGAGATTAATACAAAGAAATAAACACCACATGTAATATGGACACTATTTGGAGAAATTTATGAAATAACCGAAAAAATACTAATTAAACTACAGATTTTTCTCAAAAAGTTTTTTTTTTATTATTTCTTGCCATTTCCTGGTTATTTTATGTATTTTATTAGTATCGCCTGTTATTTAGCATTATTATTGTTTTTATTCTATCAGATTATACCTCTTAGTTAAAAGTTTTAACGTTTTCATAACAATAAAAAATTGAAAGAAAAAAATCTATAAAAAAATATCTCTTTCATTTTTTCCTTTGATAAAAATAGGTCTAGTTTCACCTATATTCATGCGTGCACTTTTCAACTGTATGCTTATTTCATTTTTTTACTAGAATTAAATCTTTAGATAAAAACAGCTCGTCCGTTTGAAAAATACTGTTCATCAGCAATTGGTGTATTGTATTACATATTGTAGGTATCGTAAATATTATTGTCGTATTATTAAGCATTATTTTTGACTTCAAATCACATTTTGGGCAAGCAAACAACATTGAAATGATGTCAATGTTATTTTTTTTGTTTTATACATTTATACAACTTACATACAGTATTTTAAGATAATACAACTGATGTGTAATTTTAGTTACCTAGCTACCAACAAATAATTTTCATTTGCTTTATGATAATTATCAAAAGCCCCAGCTCTCGATGCCGCGCGAGAGTGCCCTGGTCGCGGTCACCTACTGTAATGTAACTAATGTACACGCAAAACTAGATTCATCTAAAAGGTACCTACGTAACTATGACCCTAAGATTTACAATGTCTTTCTTTACAGCCGTCGTTACCTCTGAGCCGAGCGGGCGGAGCGCAGGAGCCTACGTGGCCGGCGGCGCGGGCGGGCCGGCGGGCGGGCCGGCGGGCCGGGCGGCGCTCACAGGCACCGCGCCCGCGCCGCCGGCCGGGGGCCCTGCGCTTCTGCCGTCCATTTGGAGGCCAACGTCGGTGCCAGCTTTGCTGGTTTCACGACCGGTGTGTTGCGCTCGTCGGACCCCGTTTCGCTCGGCTCAGAACCAGTAGAGGTCTTTGGACGTGTCTTGCACCTGCGCTTCCAGACCTGTGCGGATAAAAAGCCTTTGTTAGTATTTTCAAAAAAAGCACACATTATTTTTTTGTTTATTCACGTGTTTATAATAATAAACTCATAGAAAACACCCAGACCAAAAAAAAACAGAAATTCATGCACACAAATGTTTGTATTGTGCGGGTATTGAATCCGCGACCTCTGGCATAGTAGTCGTGAACCGTTCTTCCTACTAATCCTACTAATATTATAAATGCAAAAGTTTGTGTGGTTGTCTGGAAGTCTGGATGTTTGTTACTCTTTCGCGCCAAAACTACTGAACGGATTTTCATGAAAATTTACAGTATTATTGTTTTTAACCCAGAATAACATATAGGCTATAATTTATGACGATATGTGACAAACTAAATTTCACGCGGGTGAAGCCGTGGGCAAAATCTAGTTAGATAATAAAATCTTAAAATAAAATACCTATTATTTTGAACTTAAACCCTTTGTAAACCGTTTACAACCAATGTTTCAGTGAACGGGCATTAATCACGTCAGATCGCGTGGTTAGAATAGATTATCCTGTTAAAATAATGAAACGGAAAGAACCACAAAAGCTTTTTGTCGAAACGGTTTTATTTTTCGACGTTTCCGGTGCGACAATAGATAGCAGTCTTTTCTACCACTGTAGTAGTAGAGTAGGCTCGCTTGCCTCACATATAGGCGAGTGTGCTGCGCGGCGGCTGATTGTTACAAATGATGCCTGTCCACGCGCGATACCATCGGCCGTCGGCGGCGCGTCGTGATCCAGCGACCAATGACCACTATTTTCATTGTTGTATAACTAGCGACCCGCCCCGGCTTCGAACGGTTGCATTGGAATTTCCCGGCTTTTCTTTCTATAATATGCATCTTTTATACCTATAAACCTTCCACTTGAGCCACTCTATTTATTTAAAAAAAACCGCATCAAAATCCGTTGCGTACCTAATTCTAAAGATTTAAGGAATTAATAGGGACAGACAGCGGAAAGCTACTTTGTTTTATATGTATACTACGAGTATGTAGTGATTTGATAGTGATTACTAGGTCATAATAACCCAAGAATCAGTTCGTTATTTTATTTTTGTTGTAAGCTTACGGTACGGACAATTTGATTACTCGTATGTTGTTTTATTTTATTTGTGAGTTTCGTAAGCAATGCAGTGTGAGTCTATTTTGATCGAAGGAAAAATATACAAAAGAGATATTTTTTATAGTTTTTTTTCTTCCTACTTATTGTAAAGAAAACTTTATAACTTTTAAACTAATAGGTACATCCTGCCAAAATAAAAAAAGTAATAATGCTAAATAACAGGCGGTACTAAGTAATAAAATACATTAAATACCCAAAAACTGGCAAAAAGTAATTAAAAAAGTGTTTTTTGATAAATTTCTCCAAATAATGCCCATATTACATGTTACAGGTAGGTTTTTATTTCTTTGCGTTACTCTCCATTGTATTACCGTGGTAAAACCAAAAATCTCATGTCTCTATCCCTATCACAACGTTATAGATAGATCATTCCATCACATCCTTTGAATAGAAAAGGAGTAATTGTCAAAACCCTTCTTAAAGGCGGCATTTTTTTCAATCAATCAATCAATAAAACATTTATTGTGTCAGTTATTACAATAACACATACCTTAAAAGTTTACATAAGTCCGCTATAACCTGCCGATTAGGCGTGCAATATTTTATTCGTATGAATACAGTTACGTAGTTGTAACATATTATAACTACATAACAAACAATAAACACATAACAAACTTTAGAACAAGTAACAATCTTACATTTGTACCTACTTGTAACTTAAGGTAGGCTAGTAGACTAATTAAATAATATAACATCAATAACTAACTATATCTCGTAAATATTCATTTAAGGAGTAATAACATTTTTTGACTAAAATTTCACACAGTTCTCTGTCTTGAAGTTTTTATGGCGGCGCGAGTGGTAACCGTACGAGGTCGCAAAGTTGAAATTCGGAAAGAGCACATCAAGATCTGTATAAATACCCATTTTCAAAACTCCCGGAAAACTTTCCTGGTTAATTTGTACTAAATGACTGGACTACATTTATTTTGGCCACGAGAAAACTATACTGTGTAAGCAATCTAGCGCTGAATATTTTAATAGTTTGGTTAAATGACAGAAATGTTTTGTTGACGGTACAGCGAATTGTAGTTTTAATTCTTTCCAAAATAGAGCAAGAATTTTGCTATAATGTTTAGTATAATTTGATGTAGGTAGGTACATATTACTAGTATTACAGTGCAATGCGGCCTCGGCACTAATGTTTGGACTGCCCTGTGACGTAAACTTGATATATTTTCAATTCCGCATCACTATTTTTAGTACATTTTTCTTCATAACAAATTTAACCTAATGTAAATCTACATTATATGCATAAAAGCGAAAGGTCACTGACAGACTGACTCACTGACTCATCACGAAATCTCAGAAACTACAAGTGCTAGAAATCTCAAATTTTACATGGGGGTTCCTTTTAAAACGTATAGGTGCTCATTAAGACGGGATTTTGCAAAATTCAACCTGTAAGTAAGGGGGTAAAACGGGATCCACGCGCACGAAGTCGCGGGCGGCCGCTAAAAAAAAAGTAGATAATAAATAAACTATTAAATAAATACTTCTTCTACATCTTCTCAGCACCAGCCCATATGTTGTCCCGAAGTGGTGGTAGGGCAAGCTATATTTGGGACGTGTATAAGTTCCCTAGAAATGATATAATTAGTAAGCACTTGCAGGCCACAAAAAGTGAACCGTGCTTGAGACTCTGGTGACGTGGTTGTTTTTAAACCTATTTCAAGCATAATACTACACAAAGCCAATACTATAGGCACAGTGTGTCCGGGCAAATCGTGATCAAACTTTAAGGGCGTGATCTGTGGACCTCTCACCTTCCTTTAAAAACAAGCGACAGCATGGGCACCTTGACAGCAAATATTTTATATCATACGATAGCATTATCTATTAGTAGAAATAGAAAACAGACACAAGAGAGTAAGAATGGATTTAAGTAAAAAAACATGAGTTTTTTCAGCGGCTTCACCGCAGCATCGGTCTGTCACACTGTCACACATTACATTGCTCTGAAACATGAAAGTACAACGTCTCCAAATGAATCGGACATCGTCTCGTGTCAGGGCAATATCACGGTGCCAGCGGCGTTGATAGCGGGCGGAGCGCGGTAATTGAGCCGGGCGGGGCGGCGCGCGCACGGTCGCCGCGTATTGGCCGCCGCTCGCCCGCGGGGCTCTCCGCACCCGTCCGTCCATCTGCACGAGGACTCGCGTAATCATTCATTATTTTACTAACGACGCGCGATGCCCTTAAATTGACAACAATCTACTCGGACAATGTACCTACCAACTTTGTGCTACTCATATTATGCGACTATCTGCTCCCGTTAAGAATCTCTCGCCAGTTCGCGACCACCGCTTTATATTACTGCTTAGATATTATACCTTCAATGAGGTCTAATTAATCGCGATTCTCTCGTCAGTCAAACGTGTTTGGGGCAAAAACTGTATTTTAGAAGCACGTTAACCCGGCGCGTTCACGGGCGGCTGGCTCCCGCGCTTCATTATATCACATAACACCATTCTTGCCATTACTACCAAATAACCGACTTGATTTTTTACATTCTTCCGTGTTGAGATCATTTTAAAACATCTCGATGCTGTTTTTACAACTTTGATAAATGAACTCCGTGTTTATCGCGTTTTTGTGTATCATTCACTACATTACAATCTTAAATATCTGAAGACAAGCATTATCTAAAGTTGGATTAAATACTTATTTATCAAAATGTTGGGCTTGCTCTGTTTGCTATTCGTCTTTGCTGATACTTTATTTTTTGTCAAATATTTAAGGATAATACTATTATTTTAACCCGATGACGCAGCTCGAAAGCAAAATACATCGTTTTCGAAACGCGTGCGTAGCGCGATAGTCACGAAGGGGTGCGTCGTCGGCTGCGGTATTTGTCAATAACGCACCCCCTCCGAGAATGTGCGTCGGGGACACCCGCCCTCACGTGCGCGCCCTCCTCCCGCGGGGGCTGCTGACCGCCCGCGCGACAGGACAATAGCAGCAGCGCTCTACCTACGGCACTCACATACACTCGTGACTCAAAAAAAAGATGGCGCTAGCTGTCTTAGTGCGCATCTTCACCGTAATAAACAAGTGTTTAAATATAGATTAAACTGCATATTAACAATAACAAACAGTGATTTATATCAATCTCACCAAGAATTCGTACGGGAAGTGTTATCTCGTGAAAAAACTGGACAGTTTAAAAGTTATTGACTACTGTGAATTGTGCATACTCACCGGAATTTGACGATAAAAAACTGATGTGATACAAAACAAACAAAGTGAACTGTGATTGACAAGAACTATTTGATTAATAAACTGTGTTTTTGCACCTGGTGACTGTGTTTATAAACCATAAACTGCTTTTGTTCTCACTTATTAAGATAATCAAAAACTTGAATAGTAAGTGAAGGTAAACATAGATCAGCTGACTGTCAAATCAACAGGTAGCTAACGATCAATAATATGTTTGCTACTCGCCCATAGATGGCGCTGTATACATAGCCATTCTGCGTAATACGTCTATACACTGATATTGACCATCACCTAGGAAGTGCATCTCCTCGCCAACAGAGGGCGCTATACAAACCACTATATGAACTATACGGTAGATCATTAATTCTGCTCATCACCAACAGATGTCAGTACAAGCATAAATAACAATAAAGATAATAAAAATATTGCAATTCAAAATGGCAATATACTGTAAAGTCTGTAGAAAAATAATAACTCACAGAAGAAACTTAACATGCTCAGTTTGCAAAGAAACATACCATATCAAGTGTTCCAATGTAGCGGAAAAAATATTCTACCT